TACGTATCCTACATTCACGTATATACGTCTACATACATACGAATTTAGATGCATTTATCGTACATTAATAAATTTTATTTATGCACGTACGTTCATTCTACGTACATAAAAATATTTATTAACACATAGATACAAACTAAATAAGCAAATAGTATGCAATCGTAATTAATTGTAATCTTATATTTTAATTAAATGTATTCACAATTACTTGCAATCATGATTACATGTAATCGTATATTTTGATTACTCAATCATAAGAACTCTTTTTTTATTGTGATTACGAGTAATCACAATGTAATTTTATTCGTGTATTTAAGTGCATATTTTCGCATGTAATTCTATGTTTAAAAGTTTTAATTTAATAAACCAAACAATAGTAAATTAAACAATTTATTTACATATACAATTTATGTATTGTTTTAAAAATATTTAAATGCTTACAATACCTATTAGAATGCAATCAAGTCCCACTTGAAATTATGATTACATCTAACCGTGTTGTAATCACATACATCATAATTACTTGAATTTAAGATAACTTGAAATTGTTAGATTATGATATATGGTAGTTATGATTTCTTGCAATCTTACTTTATGATTACAAATAGTCACGATGACTTGTAATCCCAAGGCTTGATTATTTATAATTCTGATTATCTGTTATCACTTTTTATTGTGATTATAAGTGGTAAACAATGGCATTTTATGCATTTACTCAAAACACGGTCAAAAACTTTCTGTCGCCTAAAATAAAAACTCCTTTAAAGATTTTATTTAGAAGGCGCTGTGTTTTGAACTAATAATTTAAAAGCTAGTCCATATACTTTTAAGCTAGGGATTAATGTAGATAAAAAGTAAATTTTAAAAAATTTTTGTACTTGTTTTTGCTAAATACATGCGTAAAATTCTGTATTTTCTTTTTAGTCTACAGTTCAAAACATGTGTGATATAATTATAAACACTCATGAAAAATTGTATACAATTATTTTAAAAATACATACGAGTAGATATAGTGATTAAGGAGGTGTAAAATGTGAAAAAATCTGATTTTGAGATAAAAGCACGAAATTAAAGACTAAAAATCTCTAGTCTATCAACTGTTATCATCTTGCCCTAAAACTGTTACATACAATTACGTTAATAAATTAGAGTACAGACAAAAGTAATGTACTTTTTGAAAGATAATAGTAAAGGGATTCTAAATTTATAATAAATTAATTTCAAAAATTTTGTTCGAATTCACGCTTTTGCCCCCACACCCTTAAATTAAGAACAGCTTTATAATTAATAAATTTTACATGCTAAAGTTCATACCTTTAAACCAATTAATATCTTAAAACTTATTATTGAAATCTAAATGGTTCCTTTTAAATGAAATAACATTTGCGACATACATTTTTGAAAGGCTTTGAAACTTTTAACAACTGTTTTATTTTTATATTTTATAATAATAAACATTAATGAGTTTTCATTCCCCAGTATTTCTTTTTATTATTAAAATAATTTAGCAGTTAAAATTATGAGTAATTAAATTGTATTTAGATTTAGAGATAATTATGAAGGATCGCAGTCTCCTAATAATTCTTCTAATTGGTCAATTTTTACTTTCTAGGAAGAATAATTATAGACGAGATTGATTTTACAATTTTCTTGTTGTAATTAAAATATACAAAAGCATCATCTTTCTGAAATTATTAACATATTTTAATTAAAAAAACTAAGCAGAAAAAAAANATTTAATGCCTATATCATGCATCTCTTATAGTAAAATGTTTAAATTTTTTTAATGTAACTGGGAAAAAATGATTAGTACAGTGTCTATAAACAAAAGCATTAAAAAAACTACAGTAAAATACAAATATTTTTACACCATTGCCTTGATTTTTAATTACAAAATACAAATTTTGAACAAAATACGACTTTTCAGAAGTTTCGTTACGTTGAAATTATTTGTCTGATTTTGTTCAAATTTTGTATATTGTCATTTAAAATTACAATAGTTAAAAATGGAGTAAATATTTGTACCAAACAATTCAAATGTTTTTTCAAACCTTATTAAATAATGCATTGCATGAAATTATCTTTTGATAAACAATCTGCATAACTATGTGCAATTTATTTTCATTCGTTTAAAATTTTTATTGAGATGCAGTAAAACACGTGAAAAATGAAAAAAAAATTTATTCTCTTATTCTTCTGACTGAACTGATGAACCATATTTACTCCACTGCGGTTGACTCCAATATTTTAAAGGTCACAGACATCAGAGTAGGAAAAGAACAAATAGTCTGAAAATACCAATCAACGTGCATAATAAAAAAATAAAATAAAAAGAGCATGTTTTTCCACAAAAAGAAATCTTTTAAATTAGTTAACATTCTTTTTTACTATAGGAAGAGTATAAACAGTCCAACAAAATTTTAAGCTTTAATATACAAATTAAGATTGAAGAGAATAAAATAATAATAAAAAGAAAAACAACACAACAATAAAGAAATATAGAGCATTCTTCTAAAGTTTAGAAAGTCAGAAATCCCAGCAAAAGTCAGAAGAATTTCATGCCTGTGGTCGAAAATAGAAATTTGGTATGATCATTCCATAAGTTAAATAATAGTTTTTACAAAAAAATTAGTATAATTGAAGTTTCTTTTAACCATCAAGATTTGCCATTATTTCATAAACACCAGATCATTAAAATAAAAGTTATTCAGGGTGATTTTCTACTTCTGCTAACTTTAGCTCCAAACATTTCGTTCACACTACATCTCAGGATCGAGGGAGCATCAATTTAAATTTTCTTTACTTGTGAATGCTTTATCGCATGTACTACATGACATTCAGAACTATGGTGCCGGTGGATGAATTGTTCAACTCCGTTTACAACTTTAAGATTAATTTCAACGTGTTTTAGAATTTTCATAATTTAAAAAATAAACTTAAAAACTATATATTTTGTCAAAACATTGATATTGTTCAAAATCATTGCAAGGAAAGAGATAAATATCAATATCTTTCATATATACTTCAACATAAATATTTCACGACTAGATAGTTTAGTGTATATTCAAGGAAACTATCAAAAAGAAGAGATATTATTCATTTGCAGATCCTTTTAATAAAATTTTCAGCTTAGTGGAGCAATTTTGTTTTCGAACTTAGGAATTAAACAACTTGATTACTTTTTTATTATTATAATAATTCAATATTTAGATCAAAAATGTTCAAATATACTAAGTTTGTGATAAGTTACAGATTAAAATATGTAAAAATATTATTTCATGTAATACTTTTGTTTCCCTAATTATAAATATTCGTCTAAAATTAAAAACCTAATTTATTTTAAAGCAAAGATCTAGCAATTTTTTATTAATGGGAGTTAAACACATTTCCTTGATTCTGAGGCCATTCTTATTACAAGCGATGGAGAACTCGATTGAGAATTTAATCACAAGTGAATATTTTTCACCAATCTGGTTTTATCCATACAAGATTTTTTTACAACCCCAAAAAAACTTCAGGCAATAAGAATGACCTCTTGGACACAAATTCCTAGAAAATTTTCTTTGAAAATTGAAAACTCCGCAACCCTGATGACAACTGGTTCTCTTTAATATGATTAGTATAGTGTTCATTTATCNTCAAGATCAAGGGAGCATCAATTTAAATTTTCTTTACTCGTGAATGCTTCCTCACATGTACTACATGACATCCAGAACTATGGTGCCGGTGGATAAATTGTTCAACTCCGTTTACAACTTTAAGCTTCTTTTTTAAAGCTTAATTTCAACGTATTTTAGAATTTTCATAATTTAAGAAATAAACTTAAAAACTATATATTTTGTCAAAACATTGATATTGTGCAAAATCATTGCAAGGAAAGAGATAAATATCAATATCTCTCATACACACTTCAACATAAATATTTCATGACTAGATAGTTTAGTGTATATTCAAGGAAACCATCAAAAAGAAGAGATATTATTCATTTGTAGATCTTTTTAATAAAATTTTCAGTTTAGTGGAGCAATTTTGTTTTTGAACTTAGGAATTAAACAACTTGATAACTTTTTTATTATTATAATAATTCAATATTTAGATCAAAAATGTTCAAATATACTAAGTTAGTGATAAGTTATAGATTAAAATATGTAAAAATATTATTTTATGTAATACTGTTTTTTTCCTAATTATAAATATTCATTTAAAATTAAAAACTTCTTTAATTTTAAAGCAAAGATCTAGCAATTTTTTATTAATTGGAGTTGAACACATTTCCTTGATTCTGAGGCCATTCTTATTACAAGCGACGGAGAACTCGATTGAGAATTTAATCACAGGTGAATATTTTTCACCAATCTGGTTTTATCCATACAGGATTTTTATACAACCCAAAAAAAATTTCAGGCAATAAGAATGACCTCTCGGACACAAATTCCTAGAAAATTTTCTTTGAAAATTGAAAACTCCGCAACCCTGATGACAACTGGTTCTCTTTAATATGATTAGTATAGTGTTCATTTATCACACATAAAAAGGCTTCTCTCTAATAAGGTTCCCTCTCAATTTTAAGAGTTACATGGATGGAATGAAAATATTTAAAACAAAATAAGTATGTAATTTTTGTAAAAATTTTTGACTAGATTTTGTTTTTATTTTATAATATTAAATATCCAGTTCAATTAGTTAAAAATGAATCAATTTTCTTTTATACAGTTTTTCTTTAAAGAACTAAGTTAATATGTCAATAACAAATTAAAATTTAGATTTTAAAAAGGTTACAAAAGAAAAAAATTTTTATGATTACTTTAACTGCATGAAACACTTAGAATAACTTTTATATCATAAGTATTTTAGAAATCGAAAATTTATTAATAATTTTCTATTTTAATTTAATTTCTTCAAATTTCATTATTAAACTGGGATTTTTCTAGAAATTAGAATGAAATACTTTTTAAAAAATCATATAAAATTTTTTTTTTCTTTGAAATTTAAAAATTATACATAGCATTAATTTTTTTTATTGCTTAAACAATAAAATTTTTTTTTTAAAATCACATAAATAGCTAAGCATATGAGGAACATGGTCATGAGGATTGCTTACAAGAATTAACATGAAAGTGATTACTTTGATAATCTTTCTATGAGAATGCTTAATCACACACACTGCATTGCATGCTTTTGTTTATTATGAACAAGATTAATGTGTCTATTCAAGTCGTATTTATGTGTGAATGCTTTATCACACACATTGCATGAATAAGGCTTTTCTTTCTTATGAACTAGATTGTGTCTCTTCAAGGGGTATTTGTGTGTGAATGTTTTACCGCACACATTGCATGAATAAGGCTTTTCTTTACTATGAACTAGGTTGTGTACATCCAAGTGGTATTTCTCTGTAAAGGTCTTATCACACACACTGCATAAATAAGGTTTTTCTACAGTATGAACTAGATGATGTCTATTTAAGTGGCATTTCTGTGTGAATGTTTTATTACACACATTGCATGAATAAGGCTTCTCACCAGTATGACTAAGATAGTGTCTACGTAAAGAAATTTCTCGTGCAAAATTTTTACCACAAAAACTGCATGAGTGAGGTTTCTCACCAGTATGAACAATATAGTGTTTATTTAAGTTGGCTTTAGAGAGAAATGTTTTATTACACACAGAACAAGATAATGAATTTTTTACAATATGAGTAGCAAAGTGTGTTCTTAAAGTGCCTTTATGCGCATATGTCTTATTACACATACTACATGAGAATAACTTTTTTCTATTATGAATAGTATAATGTTCATTTAAATTGCGTTTGTCGGCAAATTTTTTGAAACATACACTACACGAGAAGGATTTCCCTTCATTATGAATAATCCTATAGTGTCTGCCTAAATTAGTATTACTTGCAAACATTTTATTACACATATTACATGAAAATGGTTTCTCTTTGGCATGAATAGCATAATGTTTCTTTAAACTGCTTTCGAATGTAAATGTTTCATCACACAAAGTACATGAGAATGTCTTTTTTCCAGTGTGAGTAATAAAATGTACATTTAATTTGTCTTTGCGTGAGAATGTTTTATCACATACAATACATGAGAATGGCTTCTCTCCAGTATGAACAAGAAAGTGTAGATCTAAATTACTTTTAAAAGAGAATGCTTTATCACACAATCTGCATGAATAAGGCTTTTCACCAGTGTGAATACGACAGTGTTTTATTAAATCTGTAATATTAGTGAATGTTTTCTTACACACACTACATGAGGGATGTTTCATAACATAGTGTTTATTTATCCATTGCATGTGTGTGAATGTTTTATTGCACACATCACAAGAGAATGGCTTTTCTCCAGTATGAATAACACAATGTTCTTTTAATTTACATTCATCTTTATAAGATGTTTTACAAACAGGGCATGAATAAGGCTTGTCTCTCGTATGAACACGAATGTGTTTATTTAAATAAGATTTCTGTGTAAAAGATTTATCACATACACTGCATGAATAAGGTTTTTCTTCGGTATGGATAAGTGTTTTTAATGTATCTTTAGATGTAAATGTTTTATTATAGGCACTGCTTGAACAAGGCACTTTCCCCAGTGTCAACATGATAATGTATATTTGGAGCCTATATATACGAAAATGTTTTGCTATACACATAAACAGCACTGTGGTGATTATATATGCCTGAACCAATTTTTTTGCATAAGACACGAATTCGTTTATAGCAACAAGTCACTCTCAGTGAGCAAGTTTTATAGAATACGCACTATATGAACAAGCAACTGCTTATTCTTATTATAAATAGTAAAATGGTAGGAAACATTTTTGCAGAATTTTTCGCTTCAGCTCTTTATAGCTGAATTTGATACTCGAAAAGTTTTATTACTTAAACAAATATAAATACCAATTCTATCATTACTACTCCCGGCTTGAAAGCTGATAGCTACGTACTTCTGCCATTACACAGTTACATACTACTTCACAACTAGAAAATAGGAACCGTAAAAAAAGAAACGAACTACTTTTTTGTTTATTGGCAACACCAAATTAATTGGGTATAATATAGCCTACGTCAAAGGTTGTGTTGTTCCTACTAAATTTAANAGAAAATAGGAACCGTAAAAAAAGAAACGAAAAACTTTTTTGTTTATTGGCAACACAAAAGTTACTCTTGTTTGGCTTTTTTCACGTTCGCGATCACAACGAACTATAGGGGGCGTTGTTATATGAGACGAATACCTGCGATTTCTATATGAACAGTCATCCAGTTACTCTGGAGACGTTAGCATTGTAACGTTCTTTCTTTCGTGTGGCTTATTAAATTTAAAAAAAAAATGTTTGATATTCTCTCTTATGCAAGCGAAAACAAAACGGTATCATTTTTTTTTATAGAGAAGGAGCATCCAAAACATATCGGAAAAATATTTGTAAATAAACGGGAAAAAATTATGTATCTTCTTATTAGTTGTTGTTGCTAATTTACGTCGCACTAGAGCTGCACAATAGGTTATTGGCGACGGTCTGGGAAACATCCCGGAGGATGATCCGAAGACATGCCATCACAATTTTGATCCTCTGGTAGCCCGACTCCACCCCCGCTTTGGTAGCCCGACGATCTGCGCGCGAAGTCGAACACTTTACGGTAGCACAGTTTAACGAGGACCAATACCGCACACCCTCGTTCCCCACGCAGACTGATCCAAGTGGTCACCCACCCGCACACTCACCGTAGCCAGTGATGCTTGACTTCGGTGATCTGCTGGGAACTGTGTCTTAATGATCAGTCCACTGCGGGACGTATCTTCTTATTAGAGTTAAAACCTAATGCCTGGGAAATAGCTTTAGTAAATTTAATGGTATAACATGAAAGGCCTATTTAAATTTTTACATTCCATAGTTGTAAGAATCATATTACCTCAAACATTAAAATGAGCAAAAAGTATACATGAGCCTCATAATTTTATATAATTTAATTTTGTAAAAATAATTTTTTGACTACAATTTTTATCAAAATATTTAAATATTTCAAGTTTCAATAAAAGTCATTATTTAGAAACTAAAAATCGTAAAATAACAAATGCTTATGAAAGGAAAAAAGAAAACAGTTCTAAAAGTTCCTCACATTAAAGTGAATAATTTTCATGCTTTTTGTTTTTATTCATAATCGGAAGTAGAAAACCATTCTATAGAAAATTATCATCAAATAATCCTGGATATCATCTTTTGGATTCTTTGTTGCCTTGTTGTTTGCTGATTTTTGACGCCTTTTTTTAGTGCTACGAAAATACGTCTTTGGGATTTGCCGAAAATAGAACAAGATGCAATTTTTTTTTTCAGGAGAGAAATACNATGTACCAATTTTTATGACATGAAACTTTATTATGGTAAACGTACATTTTGGAAATGTAATTTCATTTGGAATTTTATTTCTTAGAGTTCATATGGCGACAGCACATCAGGTGAAAAAAAATAGAGATTGTTTTGAATCTATGTTAAACTCTATATCGGCCCATTTTCCACCGAAATCCGATTAGCTACTTTGATTTTAAATTAAGTGTTTTGAATTTTGAAACTGTCTTGACTTTAAATAAAGTGTTTCATTTTATGATTTGTTGCAAAAATTTTAGGTGTAGATTGGCGGTACTTAAAAACTGCCAAATCTGCAGTTGCGGTGGCGTTAATACGTAAGTACCAAATTTTTGTTCCATACTTTTCTGAATCATATCACTTCAAACATTAGAATATACAAAAAGTATACAAAAACACATAATGTTATACCATTTTTCAAAACAATTATTTTAACTACAATTTTTATCAAAAAATTATAAACTAAAAAAAACGTAAAATAAAGAATTCTTAGGATAAAAAAATGGTTTCAAAAATTCCTCATATTGAAATAAAAAACTTCCATATTGTCTCTTTTTTTATTCTTAATCAGACATAAAAAACCATTCTGTAGAGAACTATCATCAAATAAAAAAAAAATTTTTACAAGAAAATTTTTTATTATAAAAATCCTGATTTATAAATCCGGAGAATTCCAAAATGAAGTGTTCTTCGTTTCAAAATATTATTTTCAAATGATATATACATAGATTATTTCTTCATTGCTTTAAGATAACGTACCACACAGCAAAATTTTACAATTGTAAGATCTCGATATGAATTTTAATATGCAGCTTTAAAACAGAATAGCTGAATTCTAGTCGAAATTATTCTTTTAAAACTAAAAAACACTTACCAAGAAATCGATAAAAATGCATTAATAATCAGCACAAATGATATTATTTCAAGTAATACGGAAGATTCTTTATTGTTGTTTTCTGAATTATGTAGATACGGAAATATATACTATTCTATAAAGAATAATAATATTCTGTAACTATTACAGTTCTGTACGTTCTCAATTCGCATTTATTCATTGGAATGAAGAAAGCAATGTTGACTTCACTTCAACTTGTAATGAATTGAAGACAGAAGAAATGTATTTTACCGTAATACACACATCTGAACAGTATGCAATCCCGAAATTGGAGGTTATCAGTTGCAAGTTTGCTGATAATAGAAGTTAAAAATTGAGGAATTTTTCTTCAAATATTTGGCGTGTTCTGGTTCTGAAAGATTTACCAATATTCTGGAGAATTCTTTCAAGCTCATCGGCCTTTTCCTTAGGGAAATTTTGCTTCTTATTTGCTGCTAAGAAAATGGCATCTGATTCTGCCAATGATTTTGATGGAACTAAATAAATTAATGTCTGATATTTTTAGGCTCCCACTAGAGGGCGTATTCGAGCGTTGCGATCGCGAATCGATTGTGATGGGTATTCGTCATTCAGAATAATGAATAATTATTCAAACTCTTCCTGAATTTTAAATAAAGATTTATTCATTAGTCAGAAATATTTTGAATAAAGATTAAGTCATTCATTTTTTCAAATAATTTATTCTTTATGGATGATGTTTTCTACACTAGGGAATGCTGCAAGCTCTATACCGTCTATACTTCCGGGTTAACGTTTCCGGTGTATTTTAAAGCCATTTGGCTCATAACGTGATCATTGTGTTTTAAGATTCTTACAAGCGTGGTATTTGATTCCTTATTACTTGTGTTTGCAATGCTAAGAATACTTGTGTTTACGATGCTAAAGGTGCTAACACTATCGTAAGATGATACACAGAACAAACAGTAATAAACAAATGGAAAAAGGCCAAATCAGGACAGCAAAAAAAGCGAGTTATTCGAAATCCAGCAACCATGTCACCTTTTTTAATAATAAATAACAAAATAACTAAAACACATTTTCACTCCAAACTCCCCAGAATTACATAATAACATTAATATCTTATGAAAGACGGCAGATTTGAGCTCAGAAATTATCTAATTTATTTCTTTTATTGAAAACAAAATTATCCGTTTGAAAACATCGCCTATCAGAATAACATGTAGTAAGCAGCTGCAAACTTTTTAACCGGAACTAGAGTAGGTCCCGAGCTCGAGATTGTTATTGTTTACATTTCTATTGAAAACACCATCCATTCCATAGTATTTTGGCGACAGAT